ATTTGCAGCTGCAAAACTCAGATCTGGATAGGAGGTGGAATGGATGGACTGATTCAAAATAAAAAATTTGATTGGTGAATATTCGTATTTAGAAAAGAAATTTGCCAACTATTTAGGCATCAATATGTATCATCTCTTCATCATTTAAGATTTGACAAATTTCTTGAGATCATGTCTTTTATGTTAAGTCCTAGCATCTTAGTTTGTAAGCACTTTTAACTGGTATCAAAAATGTTTGCTTATGTTAATAGGTTTAAAAATAGTATTATGGCTGAGCTCCAACTAAATGTAATTAAAGAGAAAAATGGTCATGTTCCTTTTCTCTCATCCAATCACTTTCCCAATTTTGTTATCAGCTGCAAATATCAAGGGATCTCTAAACTATTTCTTTTACAGTTTGGATGTTCTTTTTCTTTTATAGGCATGTATGTATGTATGTATGTATGTAGGTAGGTAGGTAGGTAGGTAGGTAGGTAGGTAGGTAGGAAGGAAGGAAGGAAGGAAGGAAGGAAGGAAGGAAGGAAGGAAGGAAGGAAGGAATCATTTTTATTATTTATGGAGATCTTAGGGACGTTCCAAAATTAGGACTACAGTCCTTTATTCCAGAAGTTAGACATCTTTTTCTTTCAGATAGTTGAGTTGCTGGGGTTGCTTTATAATGAACCTAAAAGTTAAAACCTGGGCTTTTTTCCACCTGTCCACCTGTCACCTAGAATTAAAACTCTTCTCCACAGAAGAAATGTTCTGGCAGATGGGTGGAAGGATACAAGCATGAAAGGAAAGGGAAATTTAAAGAAGCTCGATATTTTTCATTCTGTTTCCCAAATATTCATTTACTTTTCATGGTGATATTCACATTTCCTTTAGCCAATTCTTTAGAGGATAATATAGCATTCCATATGCATTCAATCTATGTTATCTTAATATCCTATTGATCCAAATTTCAGATATTTCTATGGTCCTGATGGGGATTTGGATCATAATCCATGCTTCTATTCCATAAAAAGAGCTACTAAGTCATAACCACATATAATCTATCAACAAAATTCCAGTCTGAACTTCCAGTAGTAAAGAACTTTCTTTATATTTTGAAATGCTGTTCTCATCCATTTAATACTCTTTGTTTCCATCCCATCTGACATTCAAAATGCAGATGCTTATAATGTCACACCTGTGGTACTTGTTTTTCCCCTAGTGTATTATCTGGTTCAGTGATTTTATTCCTACTGATAACCATTATTTTTGCTTTCGTCTATATTTAGTTCATATTTTATCGTGACTCTGCTTGACTAACGGTAATGAAATGGCAAAAGGAACAAGACAGATTATTAAAGTACTTTAATAGATATGGGACATTATGGAGTATGCCTTTTACTGCGTTTTAGTCTGTGGAAAGGACAACAGAACCTAAAATATGAAAGTACTATTTACATCAACTAAAAGAATTCTGCTAATGAATGTAAAAAAAAAATGATGCTGAGACTGTTAGTGATTGGATAGGATGATGGCATTTCTAGAAGCTTGGGCAAATGTGAAACAAATTCTTAATGCCAGCATGTGAAAATGAATGAATCTTCTCAGAAGAAAATAATTTTGAAGCTGATCAGCAGGGCTTTTTTTGTCATAGAACGCCCAGAACGGAGTTCCGGCACCTTTTTTGGATGGAACCTTGTAGGGTAGGCAAGGCAGTTTGTATGACATGTGTGAGTTCCGGCACCATTTTTTTTTTTTTTACAAAAAAAGCACTGATGATCAGTATCTGCAGCTACATCATATTTTGAATCAATATTGTCAAATTTTACTGGCAACATTGCAAGATTTTGGAAAGTCAGTATCAATACAGTCAGTGCGTCACACAATTTTAACTGTTAGAGGGGCATTTAACTTCATTAATTGAAATTGTATGGAATAAAGTGCTGGAAAAGGGCACTGACAGCTAAAATAGCAAGTTGAAATATATTCTTTTTTCAAATCTCAGTGATTATAAATTATTGTCTCAATGAAAAATCTCTGAGAATCCTGTTGGCTTTCAGGTGGCTTGTTAAATATTGAATATTTTGAAAATCATTTATTTTCATCCAAGGTTATTCTAAAGGAATGCTAATCCTACACAATTGCCTTGTTTCTATATTGCAATTTTGTCTGGCCTCTAGGGTGCTGCTTCATCATATATTAAATTTTACAACTAATGCTTAGATTATACTTGATCCACTCGTTATAAATCTAGATAACAAAGGATTGTTATGAGTATTCTTCCTGCATCTCTATAAAATAAATGGGAATTAATTTTTATAGAAGATTCTCTACCATACAAGCCACATTTACATTAAAACATAGACAATATGGGAGTATATCCTTCCTATATCTCAATCTATTACTGTTCTTACTCACATATGACATTTTATCTGCACATCTAAAAATATAATGTGTGAAAAGGCTCTTTCAAGCACTTTTAGCCTTGTGACTTTCAGATGAAAACTTCTGGGAATGAATTCCTAATTCCTAAAAACTTCTGTATTTATCCAATCCCTTCCCTACAAACAAACAGACATATTCAGTTCTAACCTTTGCTCCGAAGTATTTTGGGAACCATCCCTTTCCCATCTTGAGTCTAAACTAATAGTATTTCCTTGGCAGAAGGCCTGTCTTCCAGACATGTCTAAGATAGGTTCAACCAAAGATCAAAATAGGCAAAATTGATTTATATTTCCTTTTACCCACGTGCACATCATTAAATTTTCACATGACCAAGCAATTATCTACTGCTCAAAAGCTTAGGGGAAAAGGAGTTTTACAGAGCTACACAGTGATCACAAAATAGTTTGTGATTTTCCAGGTTAATAATTAATAAACTGAGTAATCAAATATCTTTTTGTTTAATTCATATTAAGAATATTTTTATACAATAATTCACTCTTAGAGGCCACTGGAGGCAAAACACATTTGACCTAATTGTCACTGTGATGTTTGTAAAATCAAGCATTGCTTACATATGCATAATTACATTAAAAAATACAAATTTGCATAGGTGTGTGTGTGTGTGTATAAAAGCATGATATATATTGGAGTTGGATTGAAGTGCAAAATCCCTTTGATTTAGTATCTTGGAATATTGGTAGGTGGCACAGTAACTAGTCAATACCTGTTTTGAGCAAAACCTGTCAAGACTTTAACATTTTATATAGGAGATGGTGGCTGGATATTTCTCATTTTTTTGCCAGAACATCACTCATATAACATCTCTGCCATTAAATTGGTTTGTACAGAAGAGCAGCGGCTGGGCGGGAGATCTTCAGTTTTTTTATCTCAGCTGGTATGAAAAGAACTACTGTATACAGTAGAGAGAATGGTAAGAAAGCTTCAGTTATTTGGGGCTTTAAAAAGCTAATGCGTACTACAAACTTTAAATAGCTAATTACAGATCTGGGCAGCAGAGAGATTCAATTATATTTATATTTGGATTAAAAAGGAAATTGCGTACTAGAGCAAGTAGAGGGATTTAAAAGAATTGAATATATCTCATTGTGAGACAGCCATTATGAAGACATTTCTGATGAAAAATATTTGCGCATGAATACAACCATCTTATATAAATAAAAATGTAAATGTTCGTTTGTTCAAAATCTTAAATCTTCAAAAGTTCTTCACCGATTGCTTTGAAATTTTGACACAACATTGCATTCAAATACGCACGTGTTTTTATATAACTACTATTATATAGATGTCACACCTGACAGGTAAAAACATGCTTTTTTGAAAAACAGCGCCATCTGTTGGACGTAAAAGCAACACACGCTACGATTTTACGATTCCATTTCAATGTTTCCAATTTACGATCCATGTACGATTTCCAAATTTCCAATTTTACGATTCCATTTCAATGTTTCCGATTGCATTGTTAAATTGAATTTTTAGATTTTGATTTATTTTCATTTTGATTTAATTATTTCGTGTGACATTGCGTTGGAATTGAGCTGTGTCATTTACCATAGCGTTCATTTCGTGAGTATAGTTTATTTTTATCTTTTTTCATTGTTTTTCATTTCGTTTTTTTACCTTTCTTTTCCTTTTAACCAGACTGAGCCACAGCAACGCGTGGCCGGGTACAACTAGTAGTACAATATAATGTTTTGCTGTAATTGAGCATTTCAATGGTCAAATTTCCACTTTTTGCTTTACGATATCTGTGGCTCTCATCTTGATGTACATGTCACTGAAAGATGTGCATTAAGTAATACCTTAATTTATTTCCTCAGCTTTTTCTTTAACACAATGGTTTTGTGCTTTAAAATATTTAGATAAATTTGCATAATAGCCCTTAACATTAACAGAATTGGTCCATATTGATTTTTACCAGTACAGATCCAGCAATTTTCTGAACCCAAGTTTTTTAGACTGGGACATAACACTTCAAGAGTTTTGATTCCTTGAATGCAATCTCCTCAGTTTGAAGATCTGTTGGACTCCTATAACAATGAATCAGAAAAGGATTTCCAGGCTAAGAAAAATGGCTCTAGTAAATAAAAGGGGACAACTACAAGCAGATATAGAGCAGATCTGTTTTCTGTGGGGTAGAGCAGGGGTCTCCAACACACGGCCCATGGACCAGTATCGGGCCACAGCATGCCAGCAACCAGTCTGCACAAACAAGCAAAGCCCTATCCGCGGGATGCAGGCAGCACATAAAACCATGTACTCTCCGGTCCGCGAAAAAACCTCTCTTCACAGAACCGGTCCTTGGGGACCTCTGGGGTAGAGTAAAGCCTGTTGTAATAGCTGATGAGTGATGTTGGTTTTTAAGAATTACAACAATGGAAATTAGTGTTAAGTACTTAGTTATGTTAGAATGAATGTAACCCTGTGTTTTTTTTTAAAGAAGTAACCATGTGAGTCTATTCTTTTTGTTAATGCCTAGTTGGTTTTAAGAAAAGGATTTAGGGATTTCCCAGCCCAGTAGATAACATATTGAGGGAGGAAAAAAGCAGAATGTAGAAAAAATAAATAAAATGAGGCAATTGCCACAACTTTATTTAATCAATTCATTCACAGAGAATGCATTTAAAGCTGGTAAGATGATGAAACTGATTCAACTATCAATGCTATGTACTTATTGTAGCAAGAAAACAAGATGTCCATAGAGATTACATTTAAGAATATAATATAATAACAAGATAGGATCTTCCCTTATTTTGAAAACAAAAATTACGTTCAAGACTGTTAGGATTTTTAAAAGCTATATAGTTTTCTTAACTTTCATGAACTCAAACTCATTAGATTTTAGCTGTGCTAAATGGAAACAATATGCCAGAGAATAGACTACGTCCATTGGTCTATAAAACCAATTTTTGAACATTTTATTGTAATTCTCAACAATTTCATTCAACGTTTTACAGTTTTTATGAGTGCCATATCTAAATGATACAAATTGCTTTTAAAACTGTTTATTTGGGAACAGATTCTATAAAATATTAGGATTAGCTTTTTAGGGCAGACCAGATTTAAATAAGAGAAGCAATAAGGGGGGGGGGAAGCTCTCTGATTTTTACAATAACAAATTGTAAAACAAAAAACAAGAGTGGAGGTTATTGCCTTTAAAGTAGCCAAAACTTAAACTAGGTTGAAACATCATACCTCATCTCACACATGCTTATGATAAAGTTTGAATTAATGGTAATAGTATTATCATCACTTTTGGTTATTTCTTCTTCTGTAGTTCTTCTACATAATTGACTGGAATTATGCCTATACATTCTTCGGTCCGCTCTGTACGTTGTCTTAAAATACTAGGCCTGATTATATCAATGTCCCGTTTTAAATGGTCCAATAGATTCATAATTATTGTTGGAGAAGAATCAAAGTTTACCAAAAAATACCTGGAAACAAGAAAAAAACACAGTTAAAAGGTTTTATGTTAAAAAACATAATATATACTATATCTTGTAGGCACGATGAGACTCTAAACTGATGATGTACTTGACCCCTCTTTCAGGCTCAGCCTGGACATATTCTACAAAAAGTGTAACTAAATTTAAGCAAGAATGGCATCCATATTTATTACACAGCAAGAAAAGTACAAAAAACTAGAGTATGGTTTCTAAAATTTGTTCCAATAGTACTGCCAAATGGTATGAGAACCCATAAAGGGGCAAGTCAGAATTTCAATATTTACCTATATGGCTTTCCTTTTTGCACATTATTATTAATATTACCCCCCTCAAAAGAACAGAACTTCATCATGGTTGAGGGGCCTGTCTGTTCTAATTATGCTATGGGCTTTGCTGAAGAGGCACAACCATATGAGGCAGGCCTTAGCTGGACAGCTGGAACAGACTAAATCTGTTCCAAAAAATCCATTCAATATGCTGTCTCAAAGGTGCTTTTTCAAAAGGCAATTGGACTGTTTTTTTCCTTGAAGAAAACAATGCAGTTGCCTTTTGAAAAAGCACATTTGAGACAACTATGACCTGAATAAATGAGAATCTCCACAGACATTTAATATGATAATACATAATTTGAATTTCATGCCAAATCTACTGTCACCCAGATTAATAAGAGTTGTGTTGGGTGGTATGACTCCTGGGCATTCACTGAAAAAAGTGCTATAGGCTCAGCTCCCTCTGTAAGGCAACCAGGGCATGAAGCTGACAGGCTACTGGAAAGCAATTGAAAATTTGTTCGAAGGAAGAAAACTACTAACTATGGAATGTTTCTACCAATCAAAACCATCAAAACATGGATTTCAGAAATGAATATACCAGCTCTAGAAAAAAGACATCTGGATTTAGGGATTAATGAGCAGAGATTTATGGACTAAAGTGTAATTTTTAAACACAAGTTCTTTACCAATGTTGAATTGGAAGCAATTGAAAAATAAGCAACTCAAAACTTGGGTTTATTCTGAAATACCAATAATAATAATACCAATTTGCAGAGTGAGCAACGAACAGCAGAAAGTGAGGAAACTATTGATATTAACAAAGAACAATAAGAAACTGTAGTTACCAAAGGTTTGCAAGCACTTAATGAAAATCTAGTTGGGTAAATTAAGGACCAAATGAAAGAACTGAAGGAATAGGTTTATCAAAATTGAAACACATTACACGAAAACTTTGGCTAAAACAGGGAAGAATGCTAATGAAACTGTTGAAATGATTCCAATTGCAACACTGGCACAAACAAACCCAGTTGATGTATGCTGCAGCCTGTGCAACCAGTTATTAAGAAAGTTCTGTAAATAAATATTTTTAGTGTTGGGAGAAGGGAAGTTGGCAATCTTCTACGAAGAAGTCATATGACAAATTGAAATATTTTTATGAGTTATGCATCAAATGCAATAAACTGGAAAGTGGAAAGAAAGCTATTAAAAAACTCCATTACTTGCCTTTATTGTCCACCTGCAAAGGTTCAGAAACTACACAAGATGCCACAGAGAATATACGGAAGATATGTCTGCATTCTATGAAACTTGGTGACCTTTGTGGCTTGAGAGTGATTATCCATTTGACAGAAAGTTTTCCAACAAATCATTTGTCCATTAAGCTAATAAAAAAACATCTCCAAGATTGGTCACATTTTTTTCACTTCCCATTTTCCTTTTTTTCTCCCTAATCAACTTGCTTGCTGAAGAGTTTCCAAAACTCACAAATGTGTGTTATTCAACCAAAATTTATTCTGAGAAATGTGGAAGAACAAGCTGCTTAGAAAAATTGTCATGGATTCTTTTTTAAATTGTACCCAATTAGATTGACACAGATTCAAAAGAGATACAATAGCACTGGATTCTTTAACAGGTAGTTTTGTATATCACCCCATGAGGATTGGAGAGATGTTTTCTTTAAAAAAAAATACAAAATGAAACGTGAAACTTACAAATCTGTATGAGTGCTTTCTATTACTTCTAACCCATATTCTATTCTATTGCTATCCTCGCTCTAGAATTTCTTCTAAATTATTTTAGAATAATGGGAGTGTGTGCTTGATAGGAAGAACTCATTTTAAAAAAAGTCACATTTCTCCCACTGACATGGAAATCTTGCTTTCAGTATTAAAGGGTGGGACTGGTGAATTTTTGCCCCCTTTCTTTTGCCTTGTTCCAGCCAGAAATTAAATGTGCTCAAATGCAGCCATGCATTCAACATTTTCTCTAAACAGGGGTCTCCAACCCCCGATCCATGGACTGGCACAGGGCCACAGATCCATGGACTGGCACAGGGCCACAGCATGCCAGAAACGGGACTGCTCAAACAAGTGAAGCCCCATCCGTGGGATGTAGGCAGCACGCAAAACCACGCCCCCCCCCCCAGGTCCACCGAAAAACCTCTCTTCACGGATCCGGTCCCTAGTGCCCAAAAGGTTGGGGGCTGCTGCTTTAAAGCCCTAGGGCAAAAGCATGAATTTGATTTATTCTTTTGAACTACAGAAACTACCTTAGAAACATCAATTTTCTTTTCCGAATTATATCCTTAAGTAGACTTAAACAAGCAAAAATTACTGCAATTTAGAAGCTTGGCTAATGTTCTGCCTGTCAACAGAAAACAGATTATCAAGCCAGCAACAACTGTAGTTTTATGCAACCCAGCAACTTTACAATGTGCAAAGAAGCATCACAGTTGCCTTCACTTAAAGCACGGGTCGGCAACCCGCGGCTCCGGAGCCGCATGCGGCTCTTTCAGCCGTCTCCTGCGGCTCCCTGTCCTCAGCCACCATGTGCAGTCCGGAAAAAAAAAAGTAGGACTAAAAAAGTTCAACCAATCAATTCAAACTTCTCACGAAGTTTGAATTGATTGGTTGAACTTCTTTTGTTTGTGGGACTGCCCACAAACCTCTTTCCTTCTTTGGACTGCACGTGGTGGCAGCGGAGGAAGAGCCAGAAGGATTGCTGGAAAGGCGGCAGAACCTGGGTAAGGAGCCAGTCTCG